ATCTTTTGTGTAGTTAAGATAAACCATTATAGTTTCTGATAACTTGTAAAGAATAACTTGTTAAAATGAAAATTCAGCGGTCTGCAAATTTACAGAAAAGTATTTGGAGCCGTTTGAAAATGAAAACACTGTTGGTGTTAGTTTTGTTAGATAATGAAACCATTGATTAACACCACAAAGGATTTTCTCAATAAGTTGTGAGATGGTACAAAACATTTTTCATTTCATCAGAGTTAATAACTCAAACAAAAGAACCATAACCCAACAACGTGACTCGAATTCTAGAGGCTTGGTTTTTTTCACTCTCTTTTTCCGCTAAATACTGAGAAACGTTACGTAATTTTGAAAAAAATGTCTAAACCCCAAGAAATGTTTTGAGATAAAAGTCTCATCTCACACTTGCACAATATAAGGTGCAGTCAACTAAAGTCATTATGTCGGAATTAAAATAATAAGCCATTCAGCAATGTCATATCAAATCGGATCAAATCACATGTTCAAAATTGAATTAGAAAGTTATCTTCATCTGTTAACCTTTACGATTCATCTTTTTTTAAGGCAGCTGCGTCACGACACGGGCATGCGCAGTAAGAACAGAGAAAAGAATGCCCCCAACAGGTCTATCGAAGCCTTTGCTGTCGAGTTTTGTGCCATTCCTTTTAATCCTGATAGTGTCTTTTAGGTATGTAATTTTTTCATTACACGTAAAATAAAAAAAAAAATTACTTGGTAAATATAGCCGAGAAAGAATACAGGATGCAGCCATCAAGTTCAACATTTCCTTCTTCACCTAAGGAATCAGGGGTCACTTTTTGGAAAAAAGCTGGCTGAGGTCTCTCTTTTTAGCGAGCCATTGAGCAGTGCACGTACCTCAAACTTACCGTATTATATTATTAATTATTTTCCTGTTTGTGGCCACATATTTTTTTTACTCGCGAGACAAACATATAAAGGTTAAGAGAAAAAGGAAAAAAATCGTTTCTCTTATTACTATCTGACCAACCATGACATCTGATTGACCAACCATGACATCTGATTGACCAACCATGACATCTGATTGACCAACCATGACATCTGATTGACCAACCATGACATCTGATTTGACACGAAACTGTTGGGTAGCTACAATCTACTTTGCTCGCTACGCATAGCATTGCGCAAATGTCGGATCATACTTTTATCTTATGACAAATCTCTTATTTGAGATTCTGCCATGAGACCACCACTTTGGAGGGTAACGACATTGAAAAGGAAAAGACTCCACCCATTCGCTCTGACAAATGGCTAACTCTCGAAACGTCAGCTTTATTAAATCTTTAAGGTGGCCAATTCATGCACATTGTCAACTCATTTGAAAACATCAAGTTATGATGTATTTATCAACATACAACCATAATGTCGTGAATGAAGTAGAGCAAAAAAAATCAATTGAAAATTTGTCTGCCGTAATTCTATCGAGTGAACAGATCTATAACTTGAAAAGGCTGGATCAACACCCAATGACACTTGAAAAAAATCGATAGATACCTCAATGAATAGACTTGAACCGGCCTGGTTGTCACACCTCAGCAATCGAAAACAATCCAGTTTACCCCAAGATACAGAGAAAAATTGTTTACAAGATTTATTCTGGTTGTTTCATAGGAATTCAGTGGGTATTCGAAGGTCTTTAAAAACTAACAAATGAACACCGCCAATTATGGGACACCAGATCCCTTGAACATGGTAATTGTGCCAAATAATTACGTACGACTGCTGTGGGTCTCAGCTCTAGTCAGCTGTAAAGGAATATGTTTGGAATGTCGTTCCTTCCTCTCAGTAACGACCATTATTATATTTCTTTATCTTCTGTTAATATGAAGAGGAATTGAATGTTTTTAAAAAGCAAACAAGGAAGTTTTAAGTAGTTTGTTCTGTAAACGTATATGTATATGCATGTGTATGGATAAACGACATGTTATGATGAGCACAGTCGCTCTGGGAAGTGCAAACGCTCGAAACTTTAGCTTTAAAAACTCTTAACGATGGCCAATTTGCATTATCAACTCAGTTAATAAAACAAATTATCTTGTTGTACCCCCCCCCAAACCATGCAGCAGGACAGTTTATTTAGAAACTAAACCCTCTTTTCATTTGCTATGATGAGTAAGCAATAATCTCCAAATTACTTGAATTTCGTTTATTATAACACGTTTTGTTGAAGTCTTCTTACAATACTTTGATAAATTTTTGAATAGTACAATCTCAAGTTGTTATAAGTAGCGCAATTTCAGATTCTTGATATGGAAATAAATCACAACCTTCGTCGATTAAGTGTCAACTAGCTTTACTTTAGAGTCGGTCAGTCCCTTGCCAAAAGCTGAATGTATAATTCTAACTAAGCCTTTTCAGCAAAACTACAAATGATATCAACCAATCGCTTCCTAAAAAGGTCAAAAAGAAAAATCCATTTGTACACCTTTGAAGGAACTGAAAATTGCCTTGGCAAGATGATAGCACAGTTGCACAGAGCGGTCAAGCATTAAGAACACAGAAAACAGTGATGATTCCGCTGGTGAACCTACACCTATAAATATATGCTGGTATTGTCCATAGGCACAATATAAGATACGAGGGGGTGGGGAAGGGGGAGCCAATGAATGATGGACTTGAAAACTTCGCTGGAAAGCTTACAGGTAGAAATAAAAACAGAGAGGAAATTTCTTAAGAATAGTTCGGACACCTTATTTCTCTCAGATAGCTCAATGAATTAGTTATGCAAGTGAAACCAAGACAGCAGTATTACATGATTGCTTGAGACTTCCGCTTTCATGATCACACGCCCTTTAGCTTGCGTCAAACGCTACAAATTATTATGTATAGTATTGTTTTTAATTACTGGACAAGGTTTATCTGAGGAGAAGAGAGAATTAAGAAAGGAATGAAAAACAGAAAGACAGAGTTAAAGAAGAAAAGAAAACTTCCTGTTTCTGTTGTGAACATCCGATTTGACATGATATCTGATTTGACACAAAATTGTTGAGATCAGAAACACATGTTTTAAAATAAATTCGAATGTGTATATTCTTGGATTTCCCACAAAACTTAACACGGTTTAGAATCCGTGAGAAGAAGTACTCCGCCAACATGATCAATCTGCTGGTAATTTCTTTTGTACAATAGATGCAAGAGCTACTTGTACATGTATCCCGAGGGGCTGTAGCGTGACCAAAATCACAATTTTTCAAACTTCTGTTCTTTTAAAACAACTGTACGTGATATCTCAAGCCTGAGGTCGAATCACAATTCAATGAATTTAGTGAAGCGGCAAGAATAACGTTTTACGCATGTCACTTGCGCAATTTTTAAAAGAAACTTTTATGTCCCTACAGGTGTGTTTAGTGCAGCGCAGGACCTGAAGATGGAGTGGGTTGTCGTCTCTAATGAAATGAGTTTACTTTCCCTTGTCACCTTTGGCTAATTTTCATTACTGCACAGGTCCTGGGTATGAGTAACAGCCGAAACTCTTACGGCGTGACATAACGAAAGTGTTCATCCTGCAGAGTAGCGAGCGATTTGTTCGTGATTTTTCCTCTGAGATTACAGGTTAGTTTCATACCTTTTTTTATGTAAAGAGCGTTTTAATCGACATAATTTGTCAGCCACGTTTTCTTCAGATAGTGATGTCAAACTAGATTTTGCAATTTTTACGAGTCTTAAATTTTACAAAAAGTTGCATTGTCGAATGCCTAGTGAATAATGTTCATGAGTGACCCATTATAGATAACCGGAGAAAAACTTCTCAGCATTTACTGTAGGCATCAAAAGAACAAGTTTTTAAATGCCTGATCGATCTCAGGTCTGAAACAGATAAACATACATAATTTCATCCTTATACTTACACGTTCATTACGCTTCGTACTGGAGACCTCCATAAATCAATATTAATTGACTTCTTTTCAAATTTTCAGCAGTGATTTCTAGCTTAGTTGCATTCAGCACACTTCCGATCAGCTCTGTTACCGGTGTTATAATGCACTCGGGAAAACATGGCGATAAAGCACAGAGTGTACTTGTGCCCTCAAGAATATTTTTCATCAGTAGAATTGAAAATTTAATTTTTTTGGGACGATAGGGAAAGAAATTATTTCCTCTTTCCCCAGAAAACAAAATTTACATATCTTGCTTTCAGTTTCCAACTGCAACTGGATTATCTTTCACATGAACTGTGACACGTTTTCTCCAGTGTGAGGATTACTCATTAAGAATAATCTTATGAAATTTAAAAGTCTATTGCGTGACTATTGGCCCAGACGTGATTGGCAATTCTTGAGCCTTTTGCCGCGGTTTTCACATTTCTGAGGTGTTCTTTCTTTCTTGTGTTGAAGGCCCTACCAGTCTCACCAATATAACACCATGAACAGTCACCACAAGGAATTTTATAAACAACATTTGTTTGCGATTCCAACGATGGTCGAAATTTTGGGGCCGGGAACTGTTGTTGAAGGGTGATGAGTGGTTTGTTCACCACTGTGATGTCGTGTTTTGGTGGTGATTGAGTGGTGAACAAACTCATGTGAAAACCGCGGCAAAAGGCTCAAGAATTGCCAATCACGTCTGGGCCAATAGTCACGCAATAGACTTTGATAATGCATCTATTATTGACAAAGGCGGTTTCAGAACAAGAAAAATACTAGAAGCGTGGCATTCCAAGTTAACTCCCAATGCGGACAACAATTCCTGTCCTTTGCCCAGACAATACAACATTCTTTTTAACAAACATTCTTAGTTGTCAGCATTTTTAATTTTTACTTTGTACTTCACACCTAGTATTTTTTACCTTTTTATCATTTTACCCGTTGAAGGCTGTAGCGCAAACAGCCGAAAGCTCGTATTTCTAAAAGTTTTAGCCAGAGATCGTTTTTTAAATTTCATAAGATGTTTTACCCTGGCTGCGGCCCCTCTATCTTTTCACATTAAGAATAACGTTGTGAATAAATATATTAAGACAGGACTCGCTCATGGCCAGTGCTGCACCGGCCGCTTTATCCACAAAGGAAACAACAAACTATGCCAGGTTGTGCCGTCTGCTGGTTGATATTGGAACCCAAGCTCTTCGAGATACGTTTGATGCCATCCATGCACCAGGAAATTTACACTCAGTTTTGGCGGCAAAGAAGCCCACCTTACAATCTCTTAGAAAGAAGAAGGTTATTAATCACACACAATGGGGGAAACTTTACCCTGCCATCCTTACCTCAGTGTCTTCTCGTGACTTTGACACAACTTTACTGATGGTTCTGTTACGGAACCTGTGCGGCTTTACTGCTCCGCTGACCGGCTGGGACGCACTGCCTGCCGTAACAGACCTTAGCAAAGTAGCAGACATTGCCCGAGTTAAGTATTTTAGGAACACTGTGTACGGTCACGCTGAGAAAGCTTCTGTTGATGACGTGAAGTTCAATGACTACTGGCGTGACATCAGGGACACTCTGGTCAGACTGGGAGGTGTTACTTATGAAGCTGCCATTGACAATCTTAGAAACGAGTGCATGGATCCTGAAGTTGAAGATCACTTCATGGAATTACTGAGTCAATGGAAAAAGGACGAAAACAACATTAAAGATCAGCTGGACGTAATTAAGAAAAATCTTGAAGTCCTGACGTCAAAAGATGAAGGTAAGATACATAAGTAATTTGTAAATTATCATGGATGAAAAGGTTGAAAGCCTATCATTTTTTAATATGTTCGGTAAGGGAGGAGTTTTTCGTTGCTACAAAAAGGAGTCGGGCCCGCCCTTTGACCTTCCCGGCTAATACTTTTGACGGACTAGCATTCAGTTGTAGGTGAAATGACATAACAGCCCCACCCTTACCCCATACTTTTTGGATATGAATGACAAATGTGATGCTTTTCTGTAATGATAAAAACGAGGATGCAACATTAATATTTACAACCATTGGGGATTTAAGTGAAATAGTTCTTTCACTGAAGGACACAAAAGAAGAAATGCTCAGTTTAGGAGTCGACCATCAGATAAATATTTGAGATTTTATTCCTTTGAGCGATAGGAGACTTTTAGCTGGGCCGTGAAAGAACAGTTTCACGCGGAGAAAATGATAATAACTAAAACAAAATTTAAATGTTGGGGATTTTGTACAGGTTTCTATTGTAAGACGGAAAGGGGTGGTTCCCACGGTCTGTATCACACCCAGGGGCTTGTTCCATTGGTCATAAAGCGCTGCAGCTCACGTATGTTTACAGGAGTGTTCATAGTTTCTAGCCATGCTCTCTTCCTGATGGTTAATAAATTTTTTCGTGCTAGATCAAGCTCCTGTTGGAAATCGAGTTGACAGAGAAAACCATGGGAACTGTTTATTTGGTTCTATTCTGGGGGTATTGACTGGATATGGTGATCTGCATAGCGGCCAGGTACGTGCAAATCCGTCGCTGAAGCTTCTTATCAGCCATATCTTAGGTTTTATATCATTTATCACTGAGCTGGAAAAAAAAATGTAAAAAAAAAAAAAAAAAAAAAAAAAAACAGATGTAACTTCGTCTTTTCGGGAACTAGGTTCTTCATCCTCGAGAGGACACCAATTTGGCAATTTGCTTTCTGACTGACTTGTTAAATGTGTGCACCAAAGCTAAATTTATTATCTATAAAGACTCTTGCTTATAGTGTTAAGGAACTCCAATTCAATTTCTTCATTGTCAATGAAAATCTGCGCCTCTTGTGTATTCCTTGCTTTTGAGGCTAGACACAGTGTCTGGAATTTGTCGTTGTTTGCCGGCAAGAAACTATTTTTATACCAGTCGGATACAATCTTAGCCTTGTTGTTTAACAGAGTAGCAATGTTTCAATCAGCTGATGAGAGGCACATATTTGAAGATCGTCTGCGTACGTAGAAAAATCATAGTTGTTAATACTATAACTTAAGTCATTCTGAAACATGTTCGACAGCAATGGTTCGAGACATGATCCTTGAGGGCAGCCTTCTCTTATATCATGCCAAGAGCTGTTAACTCTAGCAAACTTAACCCTTCCTTGCCGATCTTGGAAATACGATCTTAATAGAAGCAATGACTCGTCAGAGAAATTACAGGCTTGTAGTTTCTTGATCATGAGCGACGGAAGGAGAGAGTCAAATGCTTTGCTAGTGTCAGTAGAGGTGACCCCCACAAACTTTCCCTTGTCATTGGCCAGTCTCCAATCTTCTATGAATTTTATTAGGGCTGTCTGACAGCTTTGACCCTTTCTGTAGGTTAACATGTTTTGGGAAAGATGCGAATCCACTTTGGTTACTACTTGCCTGCTTAGCAACTGTTCAAAGATTTTGTTGACAACATTTAACACTATCACGGGCCTATAGTTCTTCACTATTTTTTCATCTTTCTTGAAAACAGGTACCCAATCCCTTCTCTTCCATCTCTTGGGATAATACCCAGATGTTATTGATAGATTAAAGATTTTGTTAGTGAGGGTGCAAGTTCCTTTGCTTATACCGTCAAGATTCTTGGCGGTATTAAGTCGGAACCAGTGGACTTTGAAGGATTAAGACCATCTAAGGCTTTAGCAGTTTCGCCTTAAGAGATCTCTGTAAATGCGAACGTATCAGTTGAAGGCCAGTTGTTTTCAATGTTTGTGACACTTGGATGGCTATAAAATCGTCCTCTGTTGAAGATAAGCTAGATTTACCACCAATATCGTTAGCCAAGGTATAAAAAATAACCAGCAAATTCTTTCGCAACCTCGTTTTGGTCTTTAGCTACAGTTCCATTCACATTCAATAATATACAATCATTAGCAGAGGAGGTTTGAAAGTTTTGAAGAATTCTCGTGGTTTAGAGTTCAATTCCTCAGATTTTTACTTAGGGATTTTTTAAAACTAATTTTTTTTAAAATTTAAATTTACTTCTTTCATCTTAAGCTCACATTTAAAGGACGAGAAATTTACTACAGCTCCCACGAAAGGTTTCACTCTTTAAGAGAGCCTTGGGTTTACGACGCCAGAGCCTGTGACATGGAAAGTGATATCAGCTGTGAGGCATGTGGTTATCATGACAGGTACGATGCTGTGCAGCATGCTGTGGAGGAACTCAAGGGAATGCTCAAGAGTAAAGGGCTCCTTTACGAGTCGTGATTTGGCATGCATGTTTCTCTGCAAAGTGCAGATCAATTCGAAGCTTCAACATCCCCCGAGCAACCCACCGGCATTTGACCGTCGCCCGCGCCCAGGGTTGGGCAATTTGAACCTTGCCTGGCTGGAGTGGGGATTTTGAACCAGAAGTGTCGAGTCTTTCCAGCAAAACAAACCAGTCTTTAAAAGTTCAGATACCGTGGGTTTGCCCGAGGGAGGACGTTGAAGCTTCGATTTGATCGACGCATAAGGAAACTCAAAACACATGAACGACTTGGGGCCAAACTAGGCAAAAACCCGTAAGAAGCTTAAGGGAAAGACTTAATATAGACTCAGTACTATTTACATCTTATTAAATAAGGCTTAGCATTAATAGTTGCAAGGTTTTCAGTAGATTTACAAACATTTGTTACATTTTACTCAGGTAAGAAAAAAATTATTCAACGAATTCGCAGAACAGGTTGAAAAAGCTGCAAAGATGATTATGGCAAGCTTGTTTTACTTTTTCTGACGTCATGACTTTGGAAAAACCCCTCTTTCATTTTCTTGGTATTTTCGAAATTGTTGTAATAGCTATAAGTATCTTATTCAAGGAAATAGACCTTTGTGTTAAATATGCAAGGTAAGCGAAATTGACGCCAGTGGATAGGTAGACTTGAAGGAAAAATTATTCTTCATGAATTAAAATTTAGCAAAGTCGCACAAACCTCGATATCGAAATGTGGTAGATCAGAACTAGTCAAATCTTCTCAATATATTATCAGTCTTCGATCCCTTTAAGCCAGTCACTTTGCTTGTACGTCCGTATTTGATTGTCTTCAAGTTGGATTCATCTCTTGCACAATAGCATTTTAGAAATGAATCAAAATCTGAGCGAGATCATGTTCAGCTTCGAAGGAGATCAACGAGAAAATAATTGTAATCTTAAAAATCTTCAGACATAGTTTGATGCTACACTGGTTTGCAGATTTAATGAATGTAACCGAAGAAGTTACAATTCATAGACCCAACGTTTCGACACTCCTGTCTAGTGCCTTCATCAGGGGTGATCTAAACGCTGCAACAAGAGGTCCTTTTATATGATCACTAATTAGCGGCCTTTTTTCTGACGAGGTGTAAATAGGCGTCAGGAAGCAGACCGCCATCGTCACGATTTAAGGGAGCGTGGGCGGAGTTAATGTGCCAAGCCTCTAAACAAAGGCGCTGGTGTTAACGCCGATAAGTGGTGATAATTTTAGAATTATCCCACCCAATTGTATGGTTGGTTAGGCAAGTATGCTCCGATAAAGCTGAATTTTCCTTTTTGCAAAGAAAAACCGCTTTTTGGTGCTCTTTTAACCGTGTACCAAACTGGCGTTTAATCTGTCCGATGTATTCGTTGTCACAGTCATTGCAAGGAAAAGAATAAATGGCGTCGGTTCGTTGTTCTTTCGTGACAGGATCCTTAGTTTTGGCGAAAATATGCCCCAAAGTCTGAAAAGGTTTTTGAGCAACTTTAACGTTGTGGCTATTCAAAATTCTCTTGATGGGTTCAGTAACACCCTTTATGTAAGGAATAACAGCAAAACCAGTCGCTGGTTCCTCGGCGGGAAAATCAAGTTTAGTTCGGTCGACATATATTCTGGGCCTCGCGTGACAACGAACAGTTTAATTTATTTATGTCGCGTTCCAATTGTCATGCCCAGGACCTACGCACTTCAACGACGTTCATTGAGGAAGAAAAGAACAATAAGCGTAACTAAAGTAAGTTTTCCTCACTCGCCCATGTTTCCAAGAGGTAACTTGGGAGGAAACACCAGCCTCATCTCGGCCCTCTCTGTCTCCCTTGTTTAAGTCTAACAATCGGTGCTAGTTAAAAAATGTGAAATTCGCGTCGTTTCAAAATGTTGAATCTTAAAAGCACCACTGGAATACTGAAGCTTTCAGGCCTATAAAAATAGATTTTCTCCTTGGTACTATGAAATTATTCAGTTCCTGTGGTGGAATTCCAGTTAACAGAACGCAAGAGATTACAAACTCTTGCAGAACGTTAAAGTGCCCCTTACCCCATTTTTTTATTCCTTTCAATTTCAAAACGATTACGTAGTTGGGTGAAAATAACCATCTACGATTCTACGGCTGTGTAAAAAAGGAGATCTGGGATCTAGTGTCCTCTGACGTCAGTGGGGGAAGCTCTGGGAAAGAAAGTGGTTGAAAATGTTGTAAATTAAAATAGGCGCAGAAAATATTCGGGAAAAAAGAAAGTGGAACCGTATTTTTCGCTTTTTTAACAAGATTACCCTTCGTTTATGATTTTTTTGTAAAACTCTTCAATCTAAAACATTGGAAAACTGAGAAGAGTGGCTTTGATTGCTAATCGCAAAGCATGTGATGCTGTCATTCAGTGAAACTGCGTATGAAAATTTTGAAATAAATAACTCCACTTCACAGAAAATAAACAAGAAATAAGTTTATTTGGGAGGACCTAGAAAGAACAGAAAGACTCAAACTTTCCGTTATCTGCACTATCTTTTTTACAGACTGCCATTTAGGCTGAGAGGTCTGCTACTTTTTTCGCACAATCTACCATATACCAACGTGTGCGAATCGATCATAACACTTAGGTTAGAAAACTTACAAATGAAACAAACTTTGCATGGAACTGTCAGTGAGGCTAGGAAGTCTCCAATACAAGCAAGTTTACAAATCAATCTTGCCGGTTATGCTGGTAAACTTACCAATCGAACAAGCCTTGCGTGACACTGCCACTTAGGCTAAGTAAGTGATGGTTCAGCTGGGGCATTGTGTGTGGTATAAAAGCGAAAGTGAAACACTATAGGCTAATTAAAGCGGAGAAGCCTTTAAAGATGGAGCGTTTTTAGGATTAACTGAAGATCTTAGAGTTGTTCCATTGTGTTCCATTGTGTTTCATTTTGTACTGGAGCAAACAGGTTATCGTAAAATATGAACGTTATCCTCGACAAGATCAGCAACGAGCAGATCACCATTATTACAGCCAGACACGATCCAAGGAACTATGATCGTGTTCTCGCCAAATGAAGTGAGAAATGTTCCATCCAAGGTAAACATTTTCAGGACGCCGTCGCGGACATTTTCATCAATACCACTAGCGTCACACACGATTAGGTTACCAAAGGAGTCTACACAAAGTCCCTCGGGATATCTCAACTGTCCTTCACCAATATTGCTTATGAACACTCCTTCCTTATCAAAGACCTTCACACAATTTTCTCTCATATCGGAAACATAGAACATGCCTCGATAATAACATGGAACGCTTGGGGAAACTTCGCTATCCGTCGCAGAGAAGGCCAGCAGCAATTTTTTCCCGTCTGGGGAGATAACTTTCACCTTTTTGTCACCTTCATCGCAAACGATCACGTGGCCATCATCAGTTTTGACAAAAACATGATGTGCTTTAATCAGATGTTCAGAAAAATGTTCGACGAAGAGACCACGATCAGTTAGAACTGAAAGCTTCTTATTACATGGACTGAACTGCTCAGAGTAACCATGATGTCATTGCTCTTTGAGAATGCCACTGAGACAGGAAAACCTATGTTGGCACAAACTTGCGAATCTGCCTCGCCTCCTATCGTCTTCACACGTTTCATGTCCTTATCAAAGACCAGGACTCGTTTGTTAACATAATCTGCAACTGCAATGTCTCCAGTTATTTCATTCTTTGCGATACAGTATGGTCCGTTTAATTCTCCTGACCCATACGACCTCACTACTTTGTACTGATGGGGCTTCACCTCGACTTTCCAAGGACTACCGGTCAGCGGCCATCCATTTACCTTGATTTCAAAGTCGTGCCGACCAACGCTCTTCGGTTTGTCACATACTCGATAATTACTATCTTTACAATCTATGACTTGTACCTCCTCATCACCAGTGTTAGGGCTAACAGTGACGGTCACTTGTTCTTGCGTGTTATAGCACTTCTGTCCTCCTGAATCTCGCGTTATTATTGTGAAGTTAGCTTCAGCGCCCTGTTCCACTTCTATCAAACATTTCCCTCTAGCCAACGATTGCGAATGATCAGTGTTACTTATAACAACTCTACCCAGCTGATCATGAGCTGTTTGACCACATTTTAGACAAAAACAGGCGTCACGCTTATGGCAATAGAAGCCACTTGGTCCGTTCTCGTGAACGCTCTCTTTGCAAGTGGTATCTCCACACCAGCAGATCTGTTTACCCCGCTGGTATTGCTGACCTTGAAACAATAAGTTAAGAAATTGCGTAAGAATTGACAGAGGTAGGTTGGAGTGGAAAACGAGTATTTGCTTCTGAGGATATCATGTACTTAAATGGCTACTTATACTGGAGAGACTGCCTGGCCTGTCACTTCCTGTTTTTGCCGTTGAACTGTTTTACCCTTAATGGTTTGAAACCGGAAGTACACGCATTAGTCAAATATAAAAATCGCCAGGCTTAAAACCAACTATCTTTATCTACATCACCATCATCGAACAGATCTTACCTAGATCAGTTGCTTCTTTTGAAGTTGTCAGGAGATCAAGTCTCATCTTTATTTCGTTCAGTTGATCTTTAATGTTGTCCTCGTCCTTTTTCCACTCACCCAGTAGTTCCATGTAGTGATCTTCAGCTTCAGGGTCCATGCACTCTTTTCTAAGATCGTCAATAGCAGCTCCATAAGTGACGCCTCCCAGTCTGACCAGAGTGTCCCTGATGTCAAGCCAGTATTCATTGAACTTCACGTCATCAACAGAAGCATTCTCAGCGTGACCGTTCACGGTGTTCCTAAAATACTTAACTCGGGCAATGTCCGCTTCCCTGCTGAGGTCTGTTACGGCAGGCAATGCGTCCCAACCGGTCAGCGGAGCAGTAAAGCCGCACAGGTTTCGTAACAGAATCATCAATAGAGTAGTATCGAATGAATGTGTCGATACTGAGTTAGGGATGGCAGGGAAAAGCTTCCCCCATTGTGTTGGATTGATAATCCTCTTTGCTTTGAGAGATTGTAAGGTGGGTTCGTTTTCCGCCAAAACTGTGTATAGATTTGCTGGTGGATGGAGAGGGTTCAATGTGTCTCGAAGAGCCTGGGTTCCAATATCAACCAGCAGACGGCACAACCTGGCATAGTTTGTTGTCTCTTTAGTGGATGAAGCAGTCGGTGCAGCACTGGCCATGACAAGTGTCTGTTAAAGAACTAAATGTTTATCATTCATGAACCAACAGAATGATAATAATTGTCTTACAAACCCTTGAGTCATGATTACACACAATGTCTTGTCACACGTGATGGCTCCAGAAAAACCCCGTGGAGGTAAACATCGCTGGTCTTTTAGCGACAAAACTTCCCCTAATTTTTTTCTTACTGGTAAATTAAGAATAATAATTTATGCCAAGCCATTGCCACCCGAGGGGGTAATCAAACATGCAACTTCATGATAATAACTCAGAGTGTAACAAAACACTTGTTTGCATAACTTTGACCTCTAATTTCAACCAATTGTTTCAACCAATTTGTTTCCAAGCTGGTCCCTTAAAGAGAAAACTTCAAAATAATAGATTCGCTTGAGGAATGTTATGGTTTGAGTAAACATTTATAAGATGTAAATGTTTGCGTGATAGTCTGTTATATGACTCATTTATAAGCTTTGGGGTAGGATTATTAATTTATAAGCTTTTTGTGGGATGCGCGTGTGCCGTGTGGTACTTTTTATATTGTTTATAACCATCAAGAAAATGTAAACAGGTTATATCCTCTTGTAACCATGTAATGCAAATGATTTGAGCATTTTTCATTAAAAATCATTATATTATTTTAAGTTGTTCCTTTTATTACAGAATGTATACATTTTTTATAACTTCTTTGTCATTTTTTGTTGAAACATTTTTATGATGCTTGGATATTCCTAACAACCCAATTTTCGGCCCAGATTAGCATATATAAAGGTTAAACGAGTTTGTCTGTTTTGCCGCAACGACTAACTTACGTCCTAAGTTCGGTTCTGATTAACCGTCCTCTAAACATATAAAACCGTACCAATTTCGGGGAAGAGAGTGTTTTTGACTTAAAATCTTGCGGTAGACCAAGAATTTGTACGTGATCGTAAATATTTACCTTCCGGTTAAGTATGAGTAACCTAGCAACCGGAATAATTGCCTTAATTATCCTCTCACTTTAAGAGTATAGCTAAGTATTTTGAACATTGCTAGTTTGCAATACTACCTGTAGGCTTGGATCAGGGTAGATGTTGTTAAATTCTTACTGTATTTTTATATGTCCACATTGAATAAAAAAAAAACCTATTAAAGAAATGGAAAAAAAGCTGAAAGATAATTGAATGAGCTTGTTCTTTGATTTCAACAAACAGTTTCGTTTTGATCAGTTCTGATTCTGTTTCATGGTTCCAACTCTGAAACCTAAAAGGGTTTTAGGGATGAATAAAACATTGAGCAAGGGATGGACCGTGATAAGCTCATTACTTTTTCTTTCCAGTTAACATAATGTTATCATTATCATTATTATTATGACATAATTGTCCTCTATAAGGAAATGTGGAAATAGAAATCTCTTCAGCTTTGATTAACCAATTGTAAGAATAAAGATTAAAATCAAATAAGATTTAAGCTCTAAACTTTTCCCCCTTTTTAACTTAGGCAGAGCGCACAAGAATATTCCACATATAAACATTCTGGTTTGAATGTTTTCCAACATTCGACATGAAAGATGTTTTCATAAGACCACATGAAAGATGCAAGTTCAGCGTACCATTCGACTACAACCTTTTCAGCAACTGGTGGAATGTTAAGATTTATCCTGGGAAGGAAAGAGCCACCCATGACGTGTACAAAAGCATGTACTACAATCACCCTTTTAAAGGGGATAATGGCCGGCATGTTAAAAACGTAGATGGGTTCCGGGTGAAAGGAACAATGACAAGCTGTGGAGGGTGTTTACTGCAGTTACGTATCAGTAAGTGAACATTACACACCTTTTCTTTGGTACCCTAACATAGTGTAGTAACTGCATGAAAGTATGATAGCTTTTTCGTTGTTTGCATAACAGTGTTTTGTTAAATGTTTACGTAGCTATTAGATTATTTTGATATGAAATATATATTGTCATTGTTAGAGGAGTACGTTTCGGGATATCATTTTAAATTAGTGAACATGATTAACTTTGAACTGTACAATACAAACTCTTGAATGTGAAAGCGATCCTTTAGATTCCTAGTTTTCTTAATAAATTGTGCTGAATTGTTTGTTTGATCATTAACAGAAAAGTTTTTTAGTTGCAAGTTGAAGATTATGAGAAAATTGTATCCATTTCTGATTGGTCAGCATTTACTGGGTGGTAGAATCTTATTGGTTAATATTATAACAGTTTATGATTGAATTTGATTGGCAGTTGAACTGTCCGTTCATGACATCTCTGATATTTTGGTATTGTAACAACAAATCAACTTAACACGTAAATTCTGTCGATAACCAATCAGATTTGAGCACTTTATTATTGAAATATAAGGAATAACTTTTATTTCTTTACTTAATACAGTCAACCAAATCTGTGAAGGTTCATAATTGTAACTACCGTTAAAGAGACTTGCAAAACTTATACGAGTCTCAAGTTGCTGAAACATTGATGTCTTTTGAGTAGGAGAAGCATCTTGGCCTAACTCAACCAAATCCCCAATTTCATTTATTTCGTTACGATTTATTGGCTGAAAATAAGACATTTCTAAACATTCTGCTAAAAACCAATCGGATAGTTGTACTTCGTTATTGACACAATTATTAAGATTCGCTTGAGGAATGTTATGGTTTGAGTAAACATTTATAAGATGTAAATGTTTGCGTGATAGTCTGTTATATGACTCATTTATAAGCTTTGGGGTAGGATTATTAATTTATAAGCTTTTTGTAGGATGCGCGTGTGCCGTGTGGTACTTTTTATATTGTTTATAACCATCAAGAAAATGTAAACAGGTTATATCCTCTTGTAACCATGTAATGCAAATGATTTGAGCATTTTTCATTAAAAATCATTATATTATTTTAAGTTGTTCCTTTTATTACAGAATGTATACATTTTTTATAACTTCTTTTTTTGTTGAAACATTTTTATGATGCTTGGATATTCCTAACAACCCCACGAAAACTCAGTAGCAATTAACTTTCATGTGCCATGAAAATTCAAGGAAAATTTTCATGGTCAATGAATTTTTCACATATTCACAGGATATTCATGGGTCAGAAAAGTAAAATGTGGAGCAAACTGTAATAAAAATTGGGCAAAGTGAACTAAGTATGCAAGCTGTACCTCTGGCCGGTAGAAGTTTCTAAGCCCCTTCAGATCCTACCAGCTAGAAGTAAAAGACCAAATAAAAATAAATAAATGTATATTTATTCTTGAAAAAAGTGATTCAAAGGAGTGTGAGACTAATTTGGAGGGCAGAAAAGTAAAGTGTAGAGCAAACCTTAGTAACAATTGAGCAAAGTTGACTAAATATACAAGCTGTACCTCTAGCTGGTAGTATTTTCTAGGCCTCCTGAGATCCTACCGGCTAGAGGTACAAGACAATAGAAATTCGACTTGGGGATCTTTCTAACTAGTAGCACTATGACAAGGGCATTATAGTGACGATACTATTCGTAAGTTTTGTTTATCTTGGCAAGTGCAGGTCTTAATAGCTACAGTGTTCAGCTAAAACTCTGCTGAACAAGAAATTTAAGATCAACTAGGAAGAAGGAAAAAGCCATATAAAATTTAGCAAAATTTTCCTTGAGTTAAACTCAACAATTTATTCTTCACATTTATAGCATGTTATAATGTTCATGTCTGGTTCAATTATATTGCTTGACTGTTGGTAAATTGCAAATGGTGTTATTGGAATAGTCCGCCATATTGGAGTAGCCGACAATTTCTTTACCTCTAGCCTGTAAGATTTAGGCACAAGATCTGCCACCTAGTGGCCTCACTTAAGTTGACACTGACATGAGGCTACTGACAAACAATGCCTATTTTGAAGCCCTTTCAGATGAGGAAACGGCAAAGGTTGAAAGGGTCCTTTTCCTTCTGGACAAATTCTGTATAGGAGACTCCTTCTACCACAAACCTACCATGGTCATGGATGGCTTGCCAAAGTCATAACTGGTCAAACAAAGGAGGGACCAGTTTTACGGCATTTGCCAGCCGTCACCCACACTCCTAGCTCCATTGAAGAAGCACAAATGGTGTTCACTGATCTCCTCCAAGAAAGGATTAAAGACCATTAGTCAAGCCACCCATATGACCATAGCAAACCAGTTAAAGTCAAGATATCTGGGGATGGAGCAAGAATGACCAGAAACTCCATTTTCATTTTACTGGGTTTTGCATTTTTGCACTTTTGCAAGCTAGAGATGATGGGAATCACACAATCCCCATTGTGAAGGGGAAGGAAGACTACCAAACATTGCAAATATCCTTCGCAAATGTCTTCCAGGACATTAATTTTGTAACAAATGAAAAGAAAATTGCAAGCCATGAGATAACAGTAGATCTTGAATTTTTATTGGAGGTGATTACAAGTTTATTTTACTTAGGATGGGTTTAAAGGGAGCAACATCACATTATGCATGTGCATGGTGCAAGCTACATGAAGATGACCATTGGAATATGGAATTTGAATTAAACTATTACCAGTCTGCCTAGTTGAAAAGAATCTTGAAGGAAATGATCGAACTTTTACAAAAAAAGAATGCAAAAGAGAAATACTGCTGTGAACATAAACTTTTAATGAATATTAGACTTGATAATGTAATACTGGATGAACTCTGTCTACCTCTTAGGGTACTTGATGTTTTGACCGAAAATCTAATTAAGGATGCTTTGCAATGGGATCAAAAAGACAATTTATATAATAAAAGAGGGGAGCAAAAAAATAAACATCTAAATGACCTACAAAAAACAACAAGATCTTGTGGGATTTCTTTTGCAATCTAGGAAAAGGAAAAATGCTGATGGGAAGGGCTCAAGTTAGTTTGACTTTATCAGTCTTCTAGGTCTGACCAAAAAGCAGTTGCCAAAAGATCTGCCATGCAAGCTTCCTGGCGTTATCTACCCAGAAACTGCATCAACTGTCTGAAAACTTTGGAAAATTTTCATGAAATTTATTCCATTGTTACAAACAAACCCCACCAGAGGATGATATGGATAGCTACTTAAAAAAAGCAAAGAGTTGGGTATAAACTTGTTTACTTTGCTGTGTGACAAGAGGCTTGGTTACAAGAAGGCAAATGCAACTCCTCATATGCATTCCATGGTAGATCATAACTCAAAGTTCTTTGACACCCAGAAATCAGTTAAACTTTTCACAGTGCAGGGGGTTGAAAAAAAAACAACAACATGGCTAGGACCATTGTCCTACACAATCCAACAAATGGGATGCTGTAACTGATGTGTTACAGCAGGAGTCAACTGAAGGCAGTGGAAGTTGTGAGATAAGGAAAGGTCCAAAAGGCCATATTCCAAAAAAATACCATGTATTGGGAGCAAGAAGTGGGGGAGACCAGGAGAAACAAAAGGCACAAACCAAATTCAGCAATATTATAGGTGCTGTGGGCTTTCATCAAATGAACAACATGGCTAACATTTACAGACAAAAGTAATGAGGTGCATTTCTTTTTCTGTTCAAGATAATTTGTGGCACATGTGATGGTGAAGGATAATCGACGATGTTCATGTTGGTGGCAGCCTACTGCAACATTTATTTGCTTTGAAAAAATTATTGCTGAGTCATAAAAATACAGATATTTTAATATAAAATCAATTTTATTCTATTCTTTCATGTAATTTTAAAACCCAAGACAGGCTACATGCTACTTTGGAGAAAGAACTACTCAGCCTTTCAGGCCTGTAATGTGGCTTTGGTACAACACAATGTCAAGGTATGAGTTTTTGGACACCAACCCAAGAACAATCTTACCTTGACAGGAAAGTCAATTTTAACACCATCCCCAATACAATCCTCATTCGGAAAGTGGCACTTTTTAAAATCATCCCTCTCCAGATGGATGGCCCCACTATCATTTCTTGTGCATCCTCTATTTTTAAAAACAAAATTAAAGTTAGCATGCTTAAAAGTAATGACAGTGGGCAGGGAACTTTTCGGTTTAAGGTGCTCTAAAATGCCCCAAAGGAGAACTTCGCTGGCAGCTCGAATTTTATCTGTGGTCATTTTAGTGTTGTTAACCCTTTCACTCCCACAAGTGACCAAGACAGAATTTCTCCTTACAATATCATTACAATATCAAGCAGGCAGGTGATGAGAATAGAGAAGAATATCAATCATGGGATTATTAGTTGATCCAATACCAAATTCTCTGAACTAACATCATAAGAATTGTATGGCAGATAGTAAGGAGAATTACTAATTAGATCTTGGGAGTGAAAGAGTTAAATGACCTAGAAATGAACAAAAAATATTTTGTTTACTAAAAAATCTACACATAAATAGCCATAAGACCAATTATTGCATGCCGAGACATAAAAGTAACTTTTCGAGCAGCAAAACATGCGAGTTCAAATTTTCTGCGCGCTCCCTTGAGTTTTCTAGGCTCGAATAGCCCTTCAATTTAATAAAATATTCGTTCTAAGTAATAATAAGGGGAAAATTACATAAATTGAGATAACACATCTCACGATTGCACGAAGTAAAGTCAAAAACAGGAGAATAAAGCGATATCAAGACATATGCTTACCTTTCCTTGTTTTACTCTCCTCGACACCACATGTTCTATTTCATAAAATCTACTCTATTTTATTTTCGACCGGCTTTCTGAATAAAAATTTACCATGCTTAAAGTGTCCAACACCTGTAAATAGGAAGAAACATTCGGCATGTTTCGAATCTTCCACGCCGGCGTATAGTGGGATCTTTGATGCTGTCTGCCGTTCGAGAGGAAGAAGCGGAAAACACCAAACAAGGGATAAGTAAGCTCATCTGTTTTTGCCCAACATTTGTTTCCTAGCCTTTATTTGGCTGAATTCTTATCTCGTCTTTAAGTTCCTTTTTTTCGCGTATATTTTAAATAGCGTTGATGTAATTTTGTAATTACAATGTGTCGACCCTTCTAAGATATCTGAATGGAATGGAACAGTCAATCCAGTGCGTACTGAAGCAATGGGGCAATCACAAGGCACGGTGAAACAAAACACCAATGAAATCTCGATTACTTTCCAATAGAAAATGCGATTTGAGTGACTATTAGTTAATAGTTACATGAAAACAGTGAAAAGCTTCTATTCCAATTTCAAGTGAGCCAATGAACTACTCTCAAAGTACTTACTGATAGCCCCATTTCTCCCTTAGCTCCTGTGTCACCCTAACAACAACAACAAATGAGTTATCAGCAATTGATTCCTTAAGTGAAAAGAAGAGGTAGGATGTAGTAGATATAGAGGCTAAAGTTTTTCCTATATTTATAGCAATAATACATGCCATATTTCCTTGAATAAACACCCAGGGTGCTTATTCAAAATTTTATGTAAGAAGAGGAGGGTGCTTATTAGAAGGAAAGCAATTATTTGAGGGGGCAGTTATTCTCCTGTACTGATTCCCTTGAAGGTGAAGCATGAAAAGTTATAACTAAAGAGGCAGTAGAAACAGGTCTTCCTTGTATCTCTGCTACTTAGAAAGTGAGGGAGGAGGGGGAGGGGGTAAGGGAGACACTTATCATTCTCCTGTACTGATTCCCTTGTAGTTGAAGCGTGAAAAGTTATAAATAAAGAGGCAATAAAAACAGGTCTTCCTTGTATCTCTGCTACTTGGAAAGTGAGGGAGGAGAGGGGGGGTGCTTATGAGATGGGGGCACTATATTTGATACTATGGCCTAGGGGTTTGGTATTATGCAGGGGAGGAGGCTTATTAGAGAAAATATGGTACTTCAATAACAACAATTGTTGTTTCTATGTGCCAAATTTTGGACTAAATGGTCAAATATAGAAATCTTTTAAATTCAGTGTTTAATGTTTGACATGAATTCAGGCTGTGGGGGGAAAATACCCCACAGACCCTCTTCTCTCTTCACCAGGACCTTGTGATGAAGGCAAAGTACATTGATTTGTGTCTAAGTTGGACCATTTGAGTGGCATCATTTATGCAGCTAATGCAGTACCTGTTCTCCTTTTGTTGCAATAATTGGACCATCATAGGGGTCACCCTAGAATTAATTTCAAAAAACAATATTAAATTAATAATTTCTAATGCTTGATTACTGATCTAAAAATTATAAACTGGTGAATCAACTTTGCGAAGTTTGAGATATTGTTAACACAACTGATCTAAGTAATTGCCAAACAGAAAGCAAAGTTAACAAAATATCAGAACTTTTCCTGTCATCAAAACATGATAATACTACCAACTTACTTATTGAGCAATAACTGGTTTTGTTTGATAATTATCGCCAGGAAAAAATATTAGGAGTGTGTCAACCTGTTACAGAATTACTACTGAAAAATTAGCACCACCACTATGGGGATTTGCAGATTAGCATATATCGATGCAAGAGATATAAAGATGTTGCTAAATTCTTACTGTGCCCATATTGAATAAAAATGAGATGTTAAAGAAATATAAAAAAAATTAAACATAATTGAATGAGCTTGTTGTCTGATTTCAACATACAGCTTCGTTTTGCTTAGTTCTGATTCGGTTTTATGGTTCCAACTCCGAAAACATTGAGCAAGTGATGGACCGTGATAAGCTCATTGCTTTTTCTTTCCAGTTGACATAATTTTTTATTATTATTATCATAAAATAGCATTCCTTCAAAAGGAAATGTGGCAAGAAATTCTTCTTCTTCTTCTCTTTTAATCAATTGTAACTATAAAGATTAAAATCAAATGAGATTTAAGCTCTAAACTTTTCTCCCTTTTCAACACAGGCAGAGCGTTCAAGAATATTTCACAAGTCATATAAACATTCTGGTTTTTTTTTATAGCATAATGTTTCCTAACATTGGATATAAAGGTAACATTTCCTTTTGTTTTTTTCAGTGCAGGGAGCCAACATAAGCAGAGCAAGCGAATGGACCCTGGTACGGTGATTGCGGCAGCTGCATTGACCCAGGAAACCTGCTTGACTCGATGGCATCTGTCAACCGAAAGATTGCTATCGGCATTGAAAATGGAACCCCTTACAAATGGCAGGCTCTGAATACATACTTTTACCATGGTACATCTGATATAATTTTACCTGAATTTGTAAAGGATGGAAAGGCGGGTCTGTATACTGCCCGCAAGGCTTTAGGCCCTGTAGCTAGAGGAGTTGTGGGTGTGTTTACTTACTACATGGAAGGTGCTGACAAGACCGTAGCAGTCATGTTCAGTGTACCATTCCATCACAACTTGTACAGCAACTGGTGGGATGTTAGGATTTATAGAGGGGAGCAAAGAGCCTCTTATGAGATGTATGAAAGCATGTACTACCACGGTAAACCTTATAAAGGGGATGATGGCTGGCATACCAAACCTGCAAATGGGTTCCAGATAAAAGGAGTAATGACAAGCGGTGGAGAGTGTGTATTGGAATTACATATCACTAAGTGAACATTGCATACTTTTTCTTTGGTACACTGTTATATTGTAATAACTGCATGAAAGTAAGATGGCTTTTTTGCTGTGTGCATAATAGTATTGTTAAATAATTGTGAAATTTTTACGTAGCTATTGTTTTTTTAGATAACATTTTGACATGAAATATATGTTTTCATTGTTGGAGGAGTATGTTTGGAGATATAATTTTAAATTAGGCAAGTGCTTAACCAAAAAGCCTAATTGAAAATTACCAACAAAATTTACTGTGTGGTACAAACTCTTGAATATGAAAGCGATCATTTAGTTTCCTAGTTTTCTTAATCAGTAATGTTAAATTGTTTGTTAGATAGTTAACAGACACCTTTTCTTATCACAAGTTAATTTTTAGCATTTTTGTTTTACATTGAAGATTACGAGAAAATTATATCCATTTCTAATTGGTCAGCATTCACTGGGTAGTGAAATCTCATTGCTTAATATTGACAGTTGATAATTGAATTTGTTCAGTAACTGAACTGTCCACTTACAAGATCTCTTTGATCTTTTGGTCTTGTATCAACCAATCAACTTAATATGTTAATTCTGCTAATAACCAATCAGATTCGAGTACTTCGTTATTGACACGATTATTAAGGTTTGCTTGAGTAGTGTTATAGTTATGCCTGCCCATATATGGCGATATTTAATCCTCCAATATTTATGTTTGGTTTAAACTTGTTTTCTTTTAAATTTCAACTTTGTGTCCAAAATTTATTTAAATTTAAAGCAAATTCCTGTAATCCTCTTAACTCATTTAAAGTTAATATTTAATCCATTTGAATTTAAACTTTTAAAATTCTATCAAAAGTAATGAATTTGTATTTGATTTAAACTGCGAAATTCTATTTGATCTTCCTGGGGCGAGCTCGACCAGGGTCACGTGACTGTGTCACATGTTTATCATCAATGGTGAGAAATCTGAACGACTTTAATAAGCTTTGATTCTTTAGACTTTTTTGATTTTGCTGTTGGTTTGCTGGAAAGGAAATAAGCTTCACCAATCTGAACAAGCAACTCTAAAATGCTTGACGGGCTAGAGAAATTTTTTAAATTTGTGCTGGAGAGATCCAAGGAAATAAATGGAGGCATTCACCATGAAAGTGGAGAAGACGACTGTGAGAACTTGCTTAATGAACTGCTGTTGCACATCGATTTACATGGCAAGACTGTTCAGTTCTGGTACGAAATTGGAAATATTTCATCTCTTGACTATCAGGGCAAGATAAAATGGAAAGATCTGGAAAATGTTTATTCTGAGGTAGAAAAGGAATTTGTGTGCCTTTGCATTGATTGTTATTATGAATTCACTTGATCGGAATTGACTCGCGAGTTACCTTCATCTACATTTGTTCTTATTTTTCACCAATGTTATTACCATCATGTTATATATATCTCTTTTTGCTCTAATATCAACACCTGGCTTCTGCCCCCTCCTACAGATATTTCTTAAGGCCCTTTTGATAGACTTTTAGACAGTTAGCTGATCTTTTTCTCTAAGGTTTGGATCTTTCCTTTTCATCAATTAGTATCACTGCAAAAAGTGGGAAAAGTGCTTTAAACCACCTGTCTGAGTAGTATTCTACTGCATGGTTTTGATTCCTTTCATTTACTGCAAAAGTATGTAAGCGAAGTTATTACAATAACTGTGCAGTTAAAGTTCATGTTTGCGTTGGTGTTGCTTTAATAAAAAGAACAATTGTCAAGCCAACAAAATTACATTGTATTACTGAAATTATTTAAGGGCACGGGGAATTTCCAAATATCATTGATGTGACCATCTCTTCTTTTCAGGCATTATTAAGGCTGTATTTGGTTAAAAAAAACAATCAATGCATTTTTTTGAGTCAAGAGGGAGAGGAGGGATGGATGGAATTCAAAGGATTGATTACTGCCTTTTTATATAAAAACTACCCGGGGCAAACCCACCAATTTGCAGTTCGTATCTTATTAGTTTTCAAATTAATCCAACATTTACACTTAAAGAATCACTGAAATGACATGTTCATCTTTTTTTAATACTACCTTCAATTTATTGGAAACTGTGACAAAGAAATCATTGCCAACCAACAAGCAACTGCCACTTATCAATGTAAAAATAGGGTGGTAATGTTGCTAACAAACATTTGACTTACATAATTGAAAAGGGAATATCAAAAAATGCTACTTTGTGCCTTGACTCTATTTAACAGTATATCAGCTTTTGTTTTCTTCCTTTCATATTCCAGTCTGACAGCATTACCAAGAAGTGAATGATTTCACTACATAAGCATCATAGACAAGTATTTGAAGTATCAAAAATTCATGAATAGGTTATAGCTAATAAATTGACTGACAAAGTATGATGTAAGTGAAGTCATGCTGCTAGTTCTTTCCCTGAATGTATGCTACATTTCTTGTTCAGAGTTTCTTTGTTTATGATTGTTATGCTTAGGGTATTTTTTTGGTTAGACTATAGGTTACACTAGCCTCCAGCCTGATGGTTAATTATTAGAAATCAAAGAAATTCTTCAAGTTTTTGGACAACTAGAGTTGGACCTTCACTGTAAATGTCAAGTCCAGCTTGACTTGATGGTTTAATTGTTTACATTAACCTGAGAAAATACAAAATCAATGATCCCCATGCCATAAGCCACTTCAACAAGTGCAACTACAACTCCATCATCATCAACTGAATGAGGGTGTGGGGCATCAGAGTCTTCAAATAAATCAAATACAAATTCGTAACTTTCGATAACATTTTAAAAGCTTAAATTTAAATGAATTAAAGTCTAAATTTGAATCAATTAAAGTTTAACTTTAAACGAATTATAAAGGATTATAGGAATTTGTTTTAAATTTAAATAAATTTTGGATACAAAGTTTAAATTTAAAAGAAAATAAGTTTAAATCAAATGTAAATATAAGAGGATTAAATATTGCTACATATGGACAGGCATAGTAACGTCTTGTGAGTCAATCGAATACGAAGGAGGGCAAACATTGAGCTCGGTCGTGAAACAAAAAAGTTGTTTACTATTCAGGTGGGTGGGACATGGCCTCACTTACCATCGAGCTGTGGCTCGGGGGGAGAGCATTTGAATACAAATAACGAATAGCTTTTACTTCATCTCAAGACCCATTTTACAGCAGGTCTGCCGATAGGCGGCGTCCAATTTCACTTGGCGCACGACATCCAAAATCAGAAATTTTTCAAGTTTTAGTACTTCAAAGCTGTAGCAACTAGAATTTGCATTTGGTTATCATCAAGAACTACGAAATTATATTCTATCGTTTTTCTTTCTATTCATTAAGTTCGCGTCTTTGCGTGAGGTTACCTATGGTTTATGTAACGCCGGTAGCCAGTATAAGCTTTGTTTATGCTAGATTTTTCAGTTACTAGTTTTGTTCGTTTCGTTGGTTTTTGCAAGCACCCCGTGGTACTTTTGTTTGAGAGTCTTTGCTACCGTACTTGGTTACGAGAACACAACTGTGTGCCTTAAAATGTCTGGGGAAGGTGAAATTTTGCAGAAAAACCTCGTTTTTCTTGCATTGTTCGGGAAAGTTCGACAAGTTTGGAATGCTGTTCCCACCATTTCACACTGAATCATCTCTTTTAATCGTCCGCAGAAATTTAGCGAAATATGTGATTATAACCCAAATAAACAAATGCCTTGTCACATGATTGCGCATGAACATAATAATAAGAGTGAACAAATCTGTGGTAATCGTTAAGTGCGCCCGTCTGATAGCTTTGAGTCAGAACGTTGTTTCACCACCTCTGAAGGTGAGTATTAACCAATATGCTAGCTGAGGCTCAAATGTAAACAATTAGATAAATGCATCATCATCATGTACTAGAAACTCAGTTTTGGTGCCTTGAGTCCGGCACAAACCTAGCTTTAAATGTGTGATCTGTAAGGCCGTTCAGGATCGCTTAGCACTTCGTTATCGATACGTAGTAGTCTGGATTGGCTAAGTTCCCTTGATTCATCAAATTTACCAAAATTTAAGGACTACCGGTCTTTTATTTGCTAACACAAGCAAACATTTCTAGCCCCTAATCCTTTCTTAGGGGGAAGGGGGGAGAAGGGTCCATATCCGATTTTCTGGAGTGCAAAAGCCTTCCAGTGATTTGAAAACCTTGACCGGATGCCGATCATTTAGCAGCACCGTAAAATCTAGCTTCAAGGAATTTACTTTTTAAATTGAAGAGGCTTGTTAGCGCATATGTTTTACAATCTACATAATATATTTGAGATGGATCTATTTCAAATGCTAGTGGTGTCAGCTTTTTAACTCCGTTTGTTAAAAGGCGAACAAGATTCCACGCATATTTTTGAGCTTGAAGAATGGGCTACTGTATGGAGATATAAAGAGAAACTTGGCATGGCTATCTCGTTCTCGTTAGTAAGCTACTCCCTCACGAACGTAAAAAAGGAAGGAGCTTGAAAACATATTTTCATTCCGACATTTCTTGATTTTCTCAAAGAATGATTTTCAGACGATTTCAAATGTTTTAATTTAGCGAGATCCTAAATGAGGTCATGCATGCATCATTTGCTGCCTTAATAACTTGTGTGGCGTCGCATTGCAAATTCCTACGTTAAGCGACTCGAATTAACAAATAGAGAAGCCTTGGCTGTGCTCTGTTCTGTTATAAAGCACGCAGGAAGCGGCTAGAGCACGAAAGAAGTGTAGGGAGAAGTTTTAGTACTTCAAAGCCGTAGCAACTAGAATTTGCATTTGGTTATCATCAAGAACTACGAAATTATATTCTATCGTTTTTCTTTCTATTCATTAAGTTCGCGTCTTTGCGTGAGGTTACCTATGGTTTATGTAACGCCGGTAGCCAGTATAAGCTTTGTTTATGCTAGATTTTTCAGTTACTAGTTTTGTTCGTTTCGTTGGTTTTTGCAAGCACCCCGTGGTACTTTTGTTTGAGAGTCTTTGCTACCGTACTTGGTTACGAGAACACAACTGTGTGCCTTAAAATG